TGTACAGTTCCGGGAGCAATAGTGAAGCAAGCCCTTGTGCATCCACCCTCACATGTATGAAATAAAGGAACACCAATGGTTAGAAACGCCTTGGATGCCCTCCCCAGTTCAGCTTGCCTTCTTCTCCTTTGAGAGAATAATTCCTCTGATGTTCTTTATATATCCACCGCATAAGTATGCATCCTTCAATAATACGCTTTTCAGTTTTAAAAAACTGGGTGACAAACACAAATCTTACCGTGTAAGGAAAAGGCAACCTTGTCATTGTTAGGAAAAGCTCCTGGAACCCTCCTGGCTCATAAACTAGCTTCCACTTCCCCGAATATTCCCAGAAGCCCCACAGGGCAGGACCCTCAGCGAGCAAGGCAGGAGCAGGTGCAGGAAACAGGAGCCCGTCTCAGGGGGCCCGTCTGGTCGGCCTGGGTGGACAGGCAGGGACACTCGCGTAGGCACCTCTGTGCTTTCTGTGTGCAAACTCAGCATGGACGACGTCCAGCAGCTTCTGTGGGGCGCGACGAGTGCCCCTGGTTGATGCGGGCGGCCGCACATGAAGGGGAGACCAGGACGGGCCAAGAAGAGATATGAATGTGGGTCAGGCTACACCTGGCCATTCTATCACCAGAGTGAGAGACGGGACAGACCAGAGGCAGTCAACCTGCAGTGACGAAAACACTGTGCGCCTGTCCCCAAGAAACGCGGCCGTGTCTTCCTGATGGCGGTGTCGCCCTCCTGGTGCCTCTCGCCTCGCGAGGGTTGACCTCCTACTGTCTGCTCCCCTGTCCACATCTGCTTTTTCTGGGTTAGTCCTCTTGTGGTGAGCACATTTCCAGAAGGGGATGCGGAGGGACATTTTGAGACCTGGCAAGTGTGCAAATGTCTTTACTGGATCTCCACATGAAAACAAAGCTTTCCTGGGGGCAGAATTCCAGGTTGGGGGCGACTTGACTTCAGCATTTTCAAGGTCTTGCTTTCCCATCTCTCTGTGTCTGGCGTGACAGCCGAGGCGGCCCCATGCCTCTGACCTGGCTGGTTTATGCAAAACCGGATGCCTTCTCCCCGGACACGTGTGACGCCATCTCGGTGTCCTGGACACTGAGCTCCACAATGACGTGAGTACACTGTACACTTGGTGGGTTTTTCAAACTGGAAACAGCTCTCGGTTTGGGGAACTTCTTTTGGATTATTTCACGGATTCCCCTTTTCTGGTTCTTTTCTGCTCCTGGAACCCCAAGTATGCAGCCAACCCTCTACTTTTGTTACGTTTCACTCTTATATTCCTTCTTCGTATTTTCGCTCTACTTGCGGGACATTCCCTCAACTTCCATTTCTGCTACCAAGGACGACTTTTGCTTTCCAAATGTTCTCCCCGCTCCCCTCACTTCTCAGCTTTTCATTTTCACTTCTTGGATGCACCGATTTTCTTATCTGTCTGCGGAGAGATTTTGTTTCTACGCTTTTACATTTCTTCTCGTTGCAGATCTGCTGGGCACTGCACAACCTCTAGGAATTGGAGTAGACAAGCCAGTTTCATGTCAGGTTTCACACAGAGTCCCCTGTGGCACCCACTTTTCATTGTACATCCACGAAAGATTCAGTTTCACAAAGAGATGACGTCACAGAAAAGAATGGGGGGTGACCTATTGTTGAAATTCTGAACTAGTCAAGCTAATCGTCGTGCCACATCGAGTTTCAATTGTGTTTGCGCCAAACACTTCAAACACATTACAGCACCCCTGCCCTTTGGGTGGGGCACCCCAGGGTAGCTTGTCACACAGTCTGGGAACCATGTTTTATACGGCTTACTTTTGTTCCACACACTTCTGTTCATCCTACCATCCTAACCTAGAGCCTCCCTTAAAGTTTTTATTTGTGTACAATCTACCAGGATCTAAACAAACATCACCCTCCTACAACTCAGCAAATGAGGACATTTAACTAAGGATAACTTATTTCACACTCTGAATCATGGAATCGGAACACAGACTCGACAGGACAAGATCCAGGATGGGCCACACCGGTTTGCAGACATTCCTACAGAAAGCAGGAGGCACCTTCCCTCCATCCGGCTAATTCTTCAGCCAGGAAGACATGCTTTTGTGTTTTTAACTTTGCATGTCATTAGACAATGCCATAGAAGTAACTCAATCTAGTTTGTGGCTGTTTGCAGACAGCTGAGTCAGAGCCTGAGCATGAACAGCTGTCGAAGGAGTCTTCAGTGCACCCACCCAGACTAGTCTTTGAAGGATTCAGTCAGTGTGAAGTCAGAATGTCAAGGGAGAAGGCCAGAGCAGGTAACGCGACAAACGGATGTTGGTCATCAGTGAGCTGACGCGCTATTAATTCACCAAACAGCCTGAAGAGATTTGTGATGCAAGCTGACTTCTGTCTAGACAGAGAAGGAGTGTAAAACACATTGTACAGACACACACAGCAGTGACGAGAAAAGCCCGTTTCAGTTGACAAATGCATTGAGAAGGAACCTGCCATGTTCTTCTTTATCTAAGTGTCTCATCCCTGATGGGGCTATATCAGGCTCTAGTGAATTTCAATTTTATTTCTAGAGCTTCAAAACATCTTGCTCACGGAAAAGGAAGGACAGTGAAGAGAAGGGAGAAACGAGATGAAAGACTGAGGGGTTGATACCGAGAGATATGGAGAAAGGGAGGAAGAGAGGGAGGGAGAGGGAGAGAGACAGAGAGACTATGTCAGAGGAAGGGAAGACGGTCGGAAGAGAGGGTAATAAAATCTAAATGCTTAGATATTTGCCTGAATTTCAAAGGCTATTTGTGTTTTAGCATTTGGAAAACATCACTGACCTAGTCCTATAAAATTTCTCTTGTCTCAGATGTACTGTGGTCATGTCTGTTTTTCTTCTTTCCATTTAACAATGGTTAAAAAGCAGCTTTTGGGGGAAGCCAGTTCCTGCATGCACTCTACGTAGCTGAATAGTTCCGAGGTCCATTGTCCATCAGACATAAGGGTCAAGGAGGTCACTCAAGGAAGGTAAGCGATCATATGAGTCCATTAGGTGAAATGATCAAGAGGTCACTGAAGGAGAGTAAGCAGTCATATTCAATTTTGCTTTTTCTTCTGATACAGCAACTTCAAGGTTAATGTAAGGAAAACACTTGGCAATTAATAAAAGAATCGTACTTCGTTTTCATACATGATGACATCGTTTAAACACCACTATGCTTTAATGTTGGATGATTCTGAAGTTTCTACTCATAACAACTCACATAAACAGTCACTTGAGTCATCATTCGTGTGTTCAAGGTTTTTTGACTGTTTGTTTAAAAAACATGATCATGGATTTTACTTAATGCTGCAGGCCAGCTGTAGACTTCCCAAAGCAGAGCATTCTAGTGCTTTGTTGTAAAAAAGAAAGGAACAGCTCTAGTCTTGTCGTGGTAAATGCCATTGTGAAGGCATTATCAGAGGTGAGGGAAAGCTCGTTTTCTCAGCTATATATATTTTTTGAAATATTTCTCTGCCAAAAAAAAAAAAAATGTGTTTTCGGCAAGTGTTGCAACTGTGGTTGGAATGAAAGAGTCTGTCTTCATTAATGCTTTCAGACCTAACTAAAGAGGAAATAGAAATAAGAATGCTCTGTGGACATGGAGAGGGAGACTTTCTATATATGGTTAGGACGGGGCTTAAGGAAGCGTCTTCTTCATGACCTTGCCATGTCAAACCCAAAGGCATCCAGTGAGTCCGAAGGTCAGGTGATTCCATGAAGCTGCCTAGGACTAATTTTATTAGATAATTCATGATCAGAACTACATTTTAGAGGCAAAACAGCCAACCTTAACGAAACAGAAGGGGTACACATGGGGCAGGGGTGAGAGGCTGTAGAGTAGGCATGGGGTTGAGGGGTCTCCATCCTCCTCCTCTTCCAAATGCACCCCTCTCTAGCCAGCATATTCTGTGTGTTTGTGACATTCAAATATGCACACACTTGGCCAGGCTCGGTGGCTCAGCCTGACATCCCAGCACTTGGGAAGGCCAAGGTGAGTGGATTGCCTGAGCCGGCAGGCTCAAGACCAGCCCGGACAACTTGACGAGACCTCATCTCTACAATTAAAAAAAAAAATCAAAAATTAGCTGGGCATGGTCGTGCATGCCTGTAGTTCTGGCTACTTGGAAAGCTGAGGTGGCAGGATCACCAGAGCCCAGAGAGTCGATGCTGGAATGGCTGTGAGTGTGCCACTGCATTCCAGCCTGGGTGACGGAGTGAGACACCAATGCATATTTAAAAAAATGCATACACTCAAAACCAAACAGTAATTTCTAACCAATGTTCTAGATTTCAGAGGGTTAGTTTATGCCTTTCCAGCCTAGATTATGGAGACGTAATAAATCATCACCACCTATGTACATGATGTCAACAGATAACAACAGGATGGAAAAGAGTAGATGAATCTGCTCAGAATCCAAAATGCAACATCAAAAGCAGCCTTTCTCCACTCCAGCAGTCATGATTTTAGGAGTTTTGGCTCAAGATTTTTGACCAAGATATACATAAATCATTGAAAGACATAATTGCTTTATGGGTTTGTTTCACATAATAAGCTATTTCTTGCAGATGAAAGAGATAATCTGGTTCCTTCTTCTATATCTATCTATCTGTCTGTCTGTCTATCTCTCTAACGTCTACTTAAAATAGTAGGTACAAAAGATGTGCCCTGCCTCCCAGTTGGATTTCCATATTAGCTCAGGCAGTAGATTTAGTCTCAGAAGTTCCACATGTCAGGGAACTAGCATTAAGCAATTTTACACAAAGGCATATCACAGACAAAACATGCAGTGGTGTCTTCCTAATCTGGAAAGGGCCACAGTGCCCGATGTGGGGACCGGCACACCGTGTGCGGTGACTCGCTCTAGATTGAACTCATGACCGGGAGGCAGCAGATTACCCCAGGTGTCCCCTACGAAGGTTCCTTGGCCCCCCCTAAACTCTGCACGCTGACAGGGTCTTACTCTGCCTTGGAAGACCCCACACTCAGATGTGAGAGCTTCAGGGCTGGCTGCAGTAACCTGGCCTGAGGTAGCCCACTGAGACCTTCAGGTTCCCGAGGAAGGGTCAGAGCCAGGTTTCCGGCTCGCAAGACACGGTGGCGAGACCCGCTGGGCACTGAAGCGGAGGCACAAACAGCAGAAACAGGAAACAGACTTGTTTTTCTACCCTTTGTTAAGAAATAAGAGAAACTGTGGCTCCGGTGATGGGAAAAATACAAGAGAAAACAGTCTCCAGCCGGACACACCATGAAATACCTAGACAACATTTGGTTTCCTTTGCAAACACCGTTTGGGCCCCTGGGGACTTGTAAGTGCATGAGGCCCGGGCGGGAAAGCTGCTTCCGGTCACATCGCGCCCTGGGAGGTCGATGACCTGACACCTCCGGAGCCCAGGGCAGGACGACCTTCGGTGCTGGGGAATGGCAGAGTTGACGGCCGGGCACGTGAGCGACGACGCTGGGGTTGGGTGTTGCTCACGTCTCTGAGCCGCTCTCGCCCGAGACACATTTCTACGCCAGGAGTCTCGCCGTGAGTGGGTTTTGGCAGGAGTACAAGGCGGACTGTTCTTTTCTACTGGCATTTTAGGAGGATGTTTTTTCATCATTAGCTCAGTTTGCTTTCTGAGTACAAAAGACTATTTTAAAAGCCTGAAGCCACTGAGTTTGACCTCCTTGTCTGAATGGAACTTAATGTTTTACTAATAAAGAAACTGATGTAAAACGCAGTGTCCGGACCCCACGATAAAGAAGATATTGTCTTTAAGGGGGTCTCACATTTCCATGAAACTGCAAAAACACTGTTCCGCTTATGGCTTTAAAACAGAAACAAAGAACAATTGAAACCTCAAAGACACATCACTACCTCCCCCCTCGCTCCCCCGCACACCCCAAAGCTTCTTACCAGGTTCAGTTGTAGATCTAGGTTCTGTTTGCCACATGGAAAAAAAATCAGAAAACAGTGTTAGAACAGGGATCCACTAATAATGAGACCCCAACCACCTCTTTCTATTATCTCTTCTAGGGCACGTCTGCAGAAATGTTGTCATCAAACCCCTGAGGTGAGTGGATTGCCTGAGCCTGCGGGTTAGAGACCCACCTGGGCAGCGAGACCTCATCTCTACAATAAATCAAAAAATCAGCCAGGCGTGGTAGTGCGCGCCTGAAATTCCGGCTACTGGGAAGGCTGAGGCGGAAGGATCGCCGGAGCCCAGCGGGTCGAGGCTGCGGTGGCCGGGAGCGGCCACTGCACTCCAGTCTGGGCGACCGAGTGAGACTCCAACTCAAAAAAAAAAAAAAAGTGACTGAAGACCGATTTACATTTCTATAAACATAGAAACTCAAATTCCAGTATTGCTGTACACGGAAGCTTTTCAAACTGCAGTTCCGACGGGTTCCATGAGGCTTGTGACTCTCCTAAAATTATGTGTTCAACTTTGAGTACAAATGTGCGTTTTTTGAAGAAATAATATGTCACTTTCATCAGAGTTTCAAAGGGACCCCAGTTTTAATTTATTGGATCTCAATCCATTGTGGATTTCCTGGACTCTTTTTTTTTTTTTTTTTTGAGTTGGAGTCT